CCCCCATATCACCCCCATGGCCCACCATTTCCCCCCAGCCTTCCCTTTATCCCCCCATTTCTTCCCAGAGTCCCCCTATTTGCCCCCAACCCCCTCCTTTATCCCCAAATCCGCACCAGGGCCGCCCCCATTTCCCACCAGTCCCTCAGGAAACCCCAACTCACAGGCCCTTGAACCAGGCCTCCATCCTGGTGGCGACGCTTTCCAAAGCCACATGGAAACCATCTTCCTGGAAAAGGCACCAGAAAAGACAATCTAGGACAAACGTGAGGTTTCAACTCCCACCGCTGAGGAACTTCCCCACTTAAACACCAAAACGCAACGTTTTCTGGCAAGATTTAAGGGATCTTCTTTTGTTTGGTCCTGGGATTCAGCTCTAACCCTGCGTTTCTACAGTTAAGTCCTTTGGTCCTTCTGAGGAACCCAGGAGACCTCCTGACCTGCATTTAAACAGCCCCACCACTCCCACCAGTACAGAAGAAGGTCTCCCACCAGTCCCTTGTCCTTACAGGTCCTGGGGACAAGGCTGTCCTGACATCCACGATGCGCATGTACAGCGTTTGCAAGAGGAGCTGGAGCGGAAGCCAAATGCTGGGCAAAGGGTCTTTGGTGAAGTTCTTGAGGGCCACCATCTCCATCACCTTCTTCGCCAGCGGAGCGCATCTTCCAAGCAAGATTTTGTGATTGTCCATCATCTTCAGGACTTTCCTAAGAAAGCAAGTCAAGATCAGATGGAGTTTGGAGGACCAGGAAGCACGTTGGGGGTGGTTGAGATGCCACCGTGACTGGGAGACGCAGAAGTGCGTTAAGAAATAGATGAAAATCCCTCTTTTTAACAGTTACTTATAAATAAATTAGATCCTAGAAACAAGAAGCCAATAGTCATCATGATTCTGAAGAAGACACTAAAAATTAGTAAACTATTGTAAGGCCCCAGATGTTCAAATAATCTGAAGTTGTAAAACCACGCTGCGCTGCTCGTTCATCTCGTGGTTGGCCAAAACCCCAGCCTACTTAATCTGTGGATTAAAACATTTAAACATTTAAAACACAGATGAATTGAAACTTTTGGCTTAGTCATATTTAAGCTGATTATAATATTTCAACTGTTATAAAAAATGGTTGATAAAGGGTCTAGTTTTAATATTCTTTTTAAGATGAACTTCTCAGAAATTAGAAATGTTAAACAGAACATCAAGAGAAGGTTGTGGAAGAAAGAGGCCATTTGAAGCTGGATGACTTGATGGCCCTGAAACGGCCCAACAGACCACGTGATCAGGAGCAGAACCAAAGACAAGAAAGGACTCGCTGGGGTTTGACAAGCAACTCTACCCCAAAGCAGGAATTTTTGGCAGTTCACCTGTTTTAAGGTCATTAGGACAACACCCAGGGTTCAAGTTGACCTTGAGAGGCTGGAGGAGGGAGGTTGCGCCAACCTCCTGAAGTTCAACAAAGTCAAGGGTGAGGTTCTGCACCTGAGCCAAGGTGAAGGTTATAAACTGAAGGAGGGTGGGTTTAGATCAGATTTAAGGAGGAAACGTGGTACGATGAGGGTGGTGAGACCCTGGAAGGGGTTGCCCAGAGACACTGTGGGTGCCCCATCACTGGAAGGGTTCAAGGTCAGGTTGGACAGGGCTTTGGGCAACCTGGGGTAGTGGAAGATTGTAGAATGGGTTGGGTTGGAAGTACCCTTCAAAGACCATCTAGTCCAACCCCCCTGCCACGCACAGGGACATCTTCCCCACCACTGGAAGGGTTCAAGGTCAGGTTAGACGGGGCTTTGAGGATCCTGGTCTAGTGGAAGGTCTCCCTGCCTGTGGTTTGGGGGTGGAACTGGATGATCTTTAATGTCCCTTCCAACACAGACCATTCTCTGCTCCTTTCCCTTCCAACCCATTCTCTCCCCAGAACTGCTCCCAGGCCACACAGCGCCCTGCTCCATCCTCTCCTTGAGGTCCACCAACGCTCCTTCAACACCCCCCAGGGCCGGTGACACAGCCCATCAAGGAGAAGGGGAAGCTACCTGAGAAGCCGCCAAGCGGAAGGACTGAAAAACTCTGAAGAGCAGGAGAGTTCATCACCCTGCTCCTACCTCGGCCTTTCAGACTCACCATTGCTTCTCTTCGTCCCCCCGCAGCTGTAGGAAAGCTTCTGAGGGAGGTTCATGCAGGAGAAAGGGGTCCTCCGCCCTCTCCTTGATCGCGTAGAGCAGCGGGACCAACCAGATCCACAAGGTACCATCAGTGGTCTTGAGACACATTTCCTTCAGAGCCTTAAAGTATTTGCTGTCATCCCCCCCCCAAAAAAAAAAAAAGGCAAAAAAAGTCAAAACTTCCCATAACCGACCTCTGGGATGGCGGTGGGAGACGTGTGCCAATGCAGGACAGAGTCTTTTCCCACAAGGCTGCCTGGAAAGAGCTTGGATGGAGATGCCTCCAGGGGACAACCAATATCAGAGACATCCAACACACTTCAAGGTGTCTCAAGATGGGCTCCCCCGAGGCCCGAAGCCACCAAACCGGGTTTATACCCCCTCAAAGACCCCTTGGGATTACACACGGCACCCAAAGCCACACGTGGGGACAACAGAGCTGAGCCCCCACCCGCTAAAGCTGTCGTTGCTCCAAGCCAGGAGGTTGACCCAGCCCAAATTACCTTTTTCCTCTCAGTTCTTCGTATTTTTCTTCGGAAAATTCAATGGCCTGGAATTGTTTTTCAGCCTCAGCGATGGATGCCGGGGGAAGGGGGATGTTATAGCAAAACGAGATGTGAAAGACAAAGAGGAGCTGAGGAAGTTTTGGTTCCTTGGTCTTCAGTGTCTTGATGATTCCTTGGAGGAAGCCACCGACATTTTCTCTCACCTGGACAACAAGAACACAGAGAGGACATTTCACCACGCTGGACACGATGGGTTTTCTCCCAGAACGGCCCAAGAGGAGGATGGGAAGTGGAAGATGCTGCTGCTCAGAGAGAAATTATTTATTCCCGGTGCCACGCATCAATAGAGAAAGGTCCTTAGTACTAAATACACAGCGCTAGGGAAAGCTCTTCCCCCACCCCAACGATGTCCAAGCCATCCCCCAAAATGGCGGACACCATTTTGCCACCTCCTCGGTGGGCTCAGCGGACACTTACTGCTTCGTACAAACCGAGGGCGACCTCAAAGTCTTTCATCTTGACGTCCCACAGACAGATGTGGATGCTCTCCATGTACCGGTCCAGTCTCCTCTCCATATCCCCAAGGAAATTCCAGGAGATGGTGCGAGCAGAGAAATCGCGCTCCAGATATTCCATCTGGATCTTGCACCCGGGCGTTTTTTTGAATAAAGGATTCCACACGCTGGTGCTGCTGCTGGGGAAACTGCATTCGATGTGTTCAAAGCAGGTCCACGTTCCTGGGGAAAAAAGGAAGAGTTTGGGAACAAAACATAGACACCATGCTTGGCTGAGCCTCGAAAGCACGAAACCATCTGAGCGCTTCTCCAGCCCATTTTCCAGACAGGATTTGGGTGCCAACCGTGAGTTTTATTACAAATTAAAACAGCCCATTTGTAGGAGCAGCTTATAAACCTGCAGCTTGAAACCTCCTGAAATAAAGCAGGATTAAAGGCGAGCCGGCCTACGACCATCACCACCGTGTCCGGTCATGACTTTGGGGTAAATAACAGCGTTTACCGTCCGCTTTGATCTCCATTTCGGGTATTTTCAGGACACGATAGAATTGAGCCTTTCTGCGCTTGAAGGTCCCCGGGATGTCAGAGTTCTCTAATGAAACGTGCTCCAATTCACACTCTCTCTCCTGGCTGAAGGTGTTAACGAGGGCGTATTTATAAAAGATGGGTCCTTGTCTCAGGCGGGAAAGGGTGATCCTGGCGCTGCCTACAATCACTCTGTCTCTGGAAGAGGAAGAGAAGGAGCTCGTTGGCTTTGGGGTTGACCACCAAGGTCAACAGTCAAGTTTGGACTCATCCAACCAGACAGCGTTGGCCTTCAAAACCTCAGGGAGAAAATCCACAGCTGGCTTCATTAGCCAGGGGACTAATTAAACCAACGTCCTCACATGGGGCTGGAAGACCTTGGCCCTGGACAAAATGGCGTCTCCATAACCAATGGGGAGACTGGAGGAGCCACCACTGAGTGCTACGGCTCCACCATTTGGGAGTTCACATCCAACCTCTCTAGGAACCTGCAGCAAGGTAACTCCGCCCAGAGAACTGAAGCAGAACCACCTCCTCGGGTGTTAAATTCAAGCCTCGTTTGCTGATTAATTTTTATTTTTTTTTTACCTTTTCTCCATGTTGGTGAATTCTTCGCAGATGCCAGGTTCTTTGTAGAAGACAACGCAGATTTTGGATTTTTTGTCAGGGTTACAATTTTCTGAGAGCACAGCAACGAACTCCAGGGTCATCATGGCTTGTGGTGGGTATCCACCAAAATGATAAGAGTTTGGCTGGCAGCTGGTGGAAAAGAGGTGGTGGGTCCCCACTGTGTCTTCCCACCACCGTCCCCCCTCCCTGTCTTCGCCAGCTCCCCCATTCACATCCACTTTGCTTGGCTCTTGGCCGACAGTCCCGGACGTTGCGTGTTCCCCACTTTGTCACCTCCCACCCTGTTGAAGACCCCTTGGTTAACCTGAGGAATTTTGGAAAGACCTGGATGCCTCGGAGCCAGCACCTGGCACTTGTGTGGGGGAAGAAGATGCAGAAGGACATCCTGGGGATCTCGCTACACCAACCAGGGGTGGGATTTTGGGGGAAAAAGGGACCTAACGATGCTCAAGCTGCATCTCCTCCCATTGTAGCCCCTTCCTCTGGGGAGCTGCTGGACCTCCAGCTCCCCAGATACAACCTCAAACACTTTGGTGTTGACATCCCTCCATGCAACAAACCTGCTGGAAGGGCCTCGGCCTTCTCTGATCTCCTCGCCACCTGTAACCAAGGAGAAACCATCGATTAACATCTCCAGAGATGGTGCCAAGTCAAGAAAAGGTAGAAAGCAGGGTTCACCAGGGAGAATGGGAGGGTTCCTCGTGGCTTAGGCATGGTCTTCGTGGAAGAAGAACCCCAACATGCTCTAAGAGTGAGGCCTTCGCCATCCTCCAGGCACAGGCCCCGTGGGGACAGGGACAGGCAGCAAGACCGGCAAGGTGAGGGCAGCCACCGGCACCGCATCTTCCTTCCCTGGGGACCCAAGAGGCTTTCGGGTGCGGTGTCACCAACACCTTCCACCTCTCAACCAGCTTTTATCGCCCCCGACACCACTCAGGCAGCAATTTCTCTGCCAGAGAAAACAACGGCATCAAAGAAACACCCTCACCGGTACCCGCACGGTTGAGGTTCCCCCAATTCGTCATCTCTGCGCTCTTAACGTGATCCTGGTCCTTCTCCTGGAGAGAAGCGGGAAGTGTTGAAGGAAAAAAACGAAGCTCAAAAGGTGAGAGCTCAAAGGCCTGGAGAGACAAAGGGCTGGGCGAGATTTTCTGTGGAGCATTCAACGCCAAAATCCAGGTTGGCAATGCTGTCCCGGCATGGAAAACTCAAGCCTTGTCCTCCCAGAGCTTTGGCCACCAGCTCCCAAAGCTGGAGTGGACTCACCAGATTCCTGAAATGCTTCTGCTCCTTCGTTACCGATGCTCCCTTGGGGTGGGCGCCAGCATTCTGGTCATTCCCCTTCTCTGGCAACACGGAGTGGTGAGCCGGGGTCTGCCAGACCGGGATCTCATCTCGGGGTGGGACTGCGGGAGCCTGGGGAGAAGAACAGAGTTATGGAGCATTCTGGGGGACGTTGGAGGTGCCTTCGGAGCACAATGTGGCCGTGACCATGGGTACAACTCCTTCAAGACCAGAACCCAGCCAACACGGGACCTCTTCAGCACCAACAACCCCTCCCAGATACCTCACACCACCCCCGTGGCCTCCAAATCTTCTCCATCGGGTCCCAAAACTTGCGTACACGCACATGCCTGGACTAATAACCCCTTTTTTTTTTTTTCCTTAAAACAAGCTGTTTTTTTTCTAATTGACTTCTCCAGTGAAGGATTCTCCTGGGTTGAGAAGGGGTGAAGTTAATTTTCCCCACAGCGCCTCGTAGGATGTTGGTTTGGGGCCAAAACAGCGCCGGGAAGAGGCAGGTGTTTGAGTTTTGCTGATGAGCAGGGGGGCAAGGGCTCTACGTCTCCATTTCCCCCCAACCCCGTGAAGCTTCACAGGTTGAGAGGGGGAAAAACTACGTGGAGGACCCCGACTGACCAAAACCCAGCTCCACCTAACACCTGTCTCCACAAGAAAAAGGAAAAATGGGGAAGTTGGGGGGGGTGG